AGCCTGTCAACAGTCGCAACCGAATTTGACCCTAACGTACCGGTGTTCTTTGGCAGGTGTGGTGGTCCGTGCACAAGACAAAGGGTGGATGGACGAATCACTTGTGCAGGACTGGATCACCCAGGTGATGGTGCCGTTTCTGAAGCCCTTGCGTGAATCAACTGGACGCCGCAAGGAGGCCTTAGTTGTGCTCGACTCCTATTGCGGCCACTTGACTGAGGCGGTCGGGCAGACCATGAGGATGTTTCGGCTGTCACGGGCTGTCATCCCAGGGGGCTGCACTCCGCTAGTGCAGCCTCTGGATGTGTCAATCAACCGCGCGTTCAAGTGCAGTGTGCGTCATCGCTACAGTGGCTGGTTCGAAGAAGAGGGCATCAACACCACCACCAAGTCCGGTGAGTTGAACCATGACATCCGCATGTGTAGCTTTGAATCAATGTCGGCTTACGCTCTGGAAATTCACATTTGTCCTTCTCTACCCTTCCCCGTCCCTCAGGCAATCTCAAGAAGCCGCCAGTGGAGTTGGTGCTCCGCTGGATCGATGAGTCCTGGGAAGCAATCCCATAGGAGCTCGTGAAGAAGGCGTTCGTCACATGTGGGATCTCCACCCCCATCGATGGCAGCGAGGACCACCTCATCCTTGCCCACATGCGGGACAAGGGTGAGGTGGAAGTCCTTGACGACGTCAACGACCTGGTTGACGACGAGCTCGTCGTCAACCCCTTCTACGTCGAAGTCCCCATGCCGGCCGAGGAGCTGCAGGCGGCGGCAGAGGAGGCTGACGCCGCTGAGGAGGATGCGGAAGCGGCGGCGGCAGAGGAGGAGGGGGGCGTGCTTGAGGAAGGCGGGGAGGCAGAAGAGCCCAGCGATGACGAATGGTGGCGCCCTGGCCGCTTTGACGGGGAAGACTGTGAAGAATGGCATGCAGGAGACGATTCTGAGTAGAAGGCACTTTGTATAGAGTTTTTTGAGGTGAAATTGTGGATGTGAGGTGCTCTTGTGGTGATGTTTCTGCAGTCTAGGTGACATTGTCGATGACTGGTATGTGCTGGCACATTACTTCTGTAGTACCTGATCAAAATAATAATAATAAGGCCAGACCCCTGTTCTTGTTTCCATTCATTTCTGCTTAAAAAAAAATGTGCAATATAATAAGACCCGTGTATTATGTATTTTTTTCCTATGAGGAGACCCCCCCCCCATTTTTTCCCTGTATTTTTAGCTATACCCTAGGGTGTTATGTCCGGGAGAATACGGTATGTAAGAAGTGCAAGCAAGACAAACTAGCGAAGACAAAATTGCAGTAGAAATTACTAACATAAGATGCGTATGTCCTCCACGTTAAATTCTGTTTCTTTGTTGTGTTATGCAGAGGTTGGTACAAGGACTAAAGACGCACAATATTTCAAACGAAAACCTGAAAGGTCAACTCATAGAAGTTCAAAAACTCCTACTTTCGGTGTCTGGTGCACAATCATCTAGCGATTTCTACGAAAACGATGTTTGAGGTATGTGTTAAAACCATGGAGCCCCATTGTGTTATGCTTCCCTGTAGTATACCCTATCTTGGCCTTGATTAATACGTAGGAACGTGATAAAGTCCTTGATTAACCAAGAAAAAAATTGCCAGCGTGGAAAAGGAGTTCGCCAACAAATATTTTACCATAGAGCTCACAGCTATAAAAAACCGCTTGGTCAGCAACGACCTCGAAATCCACGTGAGATTTGTTTCATAATGGGTATCATTATTCTTATTGGTTTCCATACACCCACTAGCGTGAAAATTGCAGGACCTGAAAATGCAAAGTGGCAACTAGCCTTGTGCCAATGCCATTTCTGCTGTTCTTCGTTCGTGTGCTCTTACTCACTCCTAGTAACAGCACTAGCGCTAGCACTAGCAGCAGCAGCAGCAAACCACCAGCTCCGCCACCAGCAGCTATTGTAGTAGTAGTAGCAGGGTGCGGGGCAACCACTGCCTCAGTCCCAATAGCTCCGACACCTCGGCCACCCAAAATTTGAAATGAAAACGTGGGTGAAGGCCAAATGGCCTTCGCCCCCTCCTTTGTACCAAAAAGAGAGAAAGTAGCAGTTTGAGCGTCGCCCTCGTGCTCGGCGCCATAGACAGCCGCTTCAGGAGGTTATAGCTGCTAGATAGTCCCTGCATGACATGGGTGATGTACGACGCCGTGGAGTACTGCACGCTAGCCATCCTGATGGTGGCGAGAATTCGCCTGGCTCGGTTGCAGTAGTCGGTCGCACTCTCCTCGTCACCCATACGCAGGTGCGTCAGCTGTCCCTCCAGCTGGGCGATGAACAGGTCGTCGGTGACCTGGTACGTCGACTCAATGAAGTGCCACGCCCGGTGGCCGGCGTCGATGTACTCCCGGCACCACTTCAAGGCGATCTGCACGCCCGGCGAGCAGCACCGCGAGATGACCGTGAAGGTCAACAGCTGCACGGCGCGAAACTCCGCACGCAGGTCGGGGTGGTGCTCCCCCGGCGTCGCCACGGTCCCTCGGGTGAAGCCGATCAGCCCGGCCATCTCCAGCTGGGGCTCGATGGCTTCCTTCCAGGTGAGAATGTCGGGTCGACCGACCAGCGGAGGGGTGACCGAGATCCTATCCGGCGTGAACTTGAAGTAGCCGTAGCTCGGCGCAATCCCGCCCGCCGTCACCTGGGTCACCGACATCGGCGACAATCCACTTCGACGCCCACCAGTGTCGCCATGCGAGGAGCCTGCAGCCGCCGACGACTGCATCCCTCGCGCCTGAACGCCGCCGACTTCACCGGCGTGTATCACACCTCTCTGCCTCGACATGCCTCCTACACTGCTGCCGACCTCACCTCCACCGGCATTGACGCCCACGTCGACGCCGCCGTCGTTGTTCACCGGTCGAGGAGAGGCAGGTCGAGAAGGGGGATGCTCCGCCGCCCACACGGAGCGGAGTCCGGCTTCGACGACTGCCCAGGGTATCGCCCCATACTCCTGGGCCTCATGGCGTCTCCTCGCATCCTCCAGCCGTCCCTCCAGGGTGTCCATCACCTCGGCGTCGCCTACACGCACGCTAATGACTGCACGGCTGCCGGTCTACGAACACGATCGGTATGTGCTAAGTCGGCTAGACTGAACTACGTCGCGGTGTCCTCCACGCTCACCGCACCATGCGGAGATAACTGCAGCAACGGGAGCTAGGCTGCGGGCTAGGCACGTGTGCTCGTGTGATCTCTGCGTTCTCTGTTCCTTAGTCGTTTTCCTTGTGCACACACTACTTGCTAGTTCACGGGGAAAATTGGCAAGAGTTTCACTAGGAAAAGTTCATAACAATTGGTACAATAAAGTTGGCATAGCAAGACTACATCAGAACAATCATTCAGGTCGGCCAACTGCCAGCGCAGCTTGGTCGACCGCGTTCCAGCACGACTTGGTCGACCGCACTCCAGCAAGGCAAGGTCGATGGCGTGCCAACGTTGTAGGACAGCAGTGCACCCGCTTCACAGGTGCGCGCAGATGATTGGCGTGCAGAGTCCTGTCACCTCTGATCCGCCACGACGACCTCGGGATACCACCACCGAGGTCGGTCTCGCCAACTTCGCCTGGGAGACCGTCGCACTCCCAGGTAACCTAGTCGACCGGGCAACCATGTCGACCAACAGCTCCCGTACGTGCCCGTCGACCTCCCAAGTCGACGACCACCTCCACGTCGACCTCCTCCAGGTCGACGTCCCCTCTGGTCGACCAACTCCACGTCGACCAGTACTCCTGGTCGACCTGCTCCTCGTCGACCAGCATAGTCGTCGGCCGACCACCCACGTCGGCCACCCCAAGTTGACGTCACCAAGTTGACGTCCTCCGCAGGTCGACTCCCCAGTCGACCTCCCTGAAGTCGGCGCCACCCTAAAGCCGGCGCCAGTGTAGTTGTCCCCCATGCAGATCGACCTCCTCGTCGACCAGCTCACTCACTGCTGCAGGTCGGTTGCTCCCCTCACACCCGACCACGAAGTCGGCTCCGCCCAAGCGAGGACGGGGCCAATACCCAACTCCCGTTGACACCAACGCCTCATGACAACCACATTCCGCATCCACAAAAACTCCATCCCATACCTCGATGACATCATTGTCTTTTCCAACAGTTGGGAGGAGCACCTTGAGCATCTGCGGGATGCTTTTGAGAGGATCAAGGAGAACCATCTCTTGCTGAAGCCGAACAAGTGTGAGCTGGGATTCTATTCCACCATCTACCTGGGGCATTTGGTGACTCCGGAGGGAGTGAAGCGGGACGGAGGGAAGGTGGAGGCGATTAGCAACATGGCGGCGCCGGTGGACCAGAGGGGCGTGCGGGAGTTCCTCGGGTGCACGAGCTACTATAGGAGGTTCATCAAGGGGTACGCCAAGGTGGCACACCCTCTCACGTAGCTGCTCCACAAGGACCATGCCTTCGAGTGGATACACGAGTGTGAGCAGGCATTCATCGCCCTTCAAACTCGCCCTCATTTCCCCTCCCATACTTGCATTTCCAGATTTTTCCCAACCATTCATTCTCCAAACAGATTTCTCGGCCAAGGCACTAGGGGCGATATTGGCTCAAAAGAACGAAAAGGGAGCGGAACGGGTGGTCGCATATGCGAGCCGAACTACAAGGGGAGCGGAGCGGAATCTGTCTTCAACACACGGGGAGTGCTTAGCGGTGGTGTGGGCGATCAAACACTTTAGGCCTTACCTCTATGGGAGCAAGTTCTTGCTGCAGATGGACCACCAAGCACTCCAATGGCTCATGACGGCGAAGGACCTCACGGGGAAGCTGGCTAGGTGGCGTTTGTTGCTGCAAGAGTACGATCTCACCATCACCTACAAGGCGCGGGAGACGCATAAGAACGTGGACTACTTGAGCCGCATGCAACAGGGGTTGCATCTTCAAGAGATGGGGGGAGGACCATTTCATTGGCATGCATACATCCCATCACCTACCCATCCCCTCTCCCACACCAGCTACCCCATCCCTATGTACATATCCCTCTTTCCCAACAACCAGGAGGATGATGAGGAAGAGAGTAGTGAGTCGGTGACCAAGGGGGAGATGGAGAAGGGTGACGAGGAAGAGGAGAGTACGGAGGAGAATGGAGGAGAAGAGGAGGAGAGCTTTGAAGAGGGGCAGCGGCCGGATGAGGGAATAGAGGAGGAGCAACTGCTAGAGGAGATAGGGCAGCCTAAGAAGAAGGCAAAGGTGGAAGGAGAGGAAGGCGAGGAGGAGACCCCTAGTAAGAATCTCGCGTCCGAGACCACCCTCGATATATGGGACGACAGCAACATGTTGTTCTTCTTGGAGATGGGAGTGGTTGATCCGGCATTGAGCACGGTGGAGAAGAGGAGGGTGAGAGCAAGGGGAAAGAACTTTGAGTGGAGGGATGGGAGGGTGCTGAAGAAGATCAAAGGGGAGTTGAAGCCGGTACCACGGAAGGAGGAGAGGAGGGACATCATAGCATTTCTTCATGGGTTGGGGCATTTGGGGGTGCCAAGGACCACGGACTTGGTGAAGAAGCAGTATGATTGGTATGGAGTGGGGAGTGATGTGACGGCAATTGTGAAAGGGTGTGCCACGTGTGTGTTCCAAAAGGGATCTTGGACGGCGAAGGGAGAGTTGCAGCCGGTACTGGTCACGAAGCCGTGGGAGAGGGTAGTGATAGACTTCATCGGGCCTCTCCACACAACGGCAAAGGGAGGGAACAAGTATGTTATCTCGGCCATGGATCACTTCACCAAGTGGCCGGAGTGTAAGCCGGTGAGGAGTGCAGATGCGGCAACAGCAGCGGCATTTGTAGCAGAGAAGATCAACTCCAACCATGGCTGCCCATTGGTGATCCACACCGACAACGGGTCTTATTTCAAGGGGGAGTTTGGGGTGCTGTTGGAGAAGTTTGGGATCCACCACGAGTTCTCGCGTCCCGAACATCCTCAAAGCTATTGAGGCTTGGGGAGACCAACCCTTTGGAGTGGGATAAGAACATTTGGTGGGTGCTGCTGGGGTATAGGGCCTCAATACATTCTTCCACCAAGTTTTCCCCCTTCTTCCTACAGTATGGGCGCCACCCAAACATCACGCGCACCACCATGTCGGAGTTTGAGGCGCGGGAGCTGTCGGAGTTGTCCACAGAGGAGGAAGCGGATGCGGTAGCCAGGTATCTCTATAGAAGGTCCTCGGATATGGAGCTGGTGTTAGCTCAGGCAGTTGGGAACCATGATAGGCCGCAGGAGAAGCAGAAGCTAGATTTTGACTTGAGGAGGACAACGGCCTTAGAGATGGAGAAGTTGGTGAAGGGGGACTTTGTCCGCATCAAGCCAAGTAAGAGGGTGGCATGGGAGAAGCAGACTAATAAGTTTAAGACGCTGTTCAGGGTGAAGGAGGTGGAGCAGTTCGATGTAGTGTTGGAGGATAAGGCGGGAGCTTCATGGAAGGAGTCTCGTGAGAACGTGAAGCTGGTGAAGTTCGTGCTTTAGAACCACAACCCCCCCTCTCCCCGCGAAGTATAGGTAACGCCTATACACCCCCACTTTCCCCGCGAAGTACAGGACCGCCTGTACACCCCCACGATCAAGCGCTCATTAGGTTACCCACTCTCATTCAAGCAATCTTAGGCTACCCACGACCAAGGCGAACGGGCGATCAACGGCGAACAAAGCGATCAGAGATTACCCTAGATTAGATTGGCCTTCAAAGCGGATTCGGCGGCGACCTTAGGCAAGCTCGGTGACGCGGGCAACGTGCGATCAAGAGATTCAAACCCTTCTTCCTCCTCCTCTTCCTACCATTCCACCTTCCTAATCGAGAGACGGGGGAGCTTGCGACCTGACTGATCCTCGCTTTTGGGGCAACTATGGACTCTGAAACCGAACGCCTCTATCAGTGGTTGGTGGATTGTTTCAACATGAGGACATGGGTCGTCGTCTTGCCCGAGTTGGGATTTCGACAGGGGGATGTGGAGGGGCTGGAATTCTTGGACCTATGCATCGATTGGGAAGAGTTTTGTGAAGAGTACTTCTTGGCAGAGTTCTTCAAGGTGATGTTGGAGGGGAGTGAAGGAGTACCTCGAATGCAGCCGATAGACAGGGACGACCCACGGCTTGGAGGGAGGACTTTGGATGTGAGGAAAGGTGGAGCTAAGTTGGCCATACGGTTTGGGTGGGCATCACGGGAGATCACATGGGAGGATCTGAAGTATATCACGGAGGTGCGGATGGCTTACAGATGGTGTGTGGAGAGACAGAAGGTGGTGCCACGGCATGAGGAAGAGGGAGAGGCGTTCTTAGTGCCTTGGCCTTTGATTGGGGTGGGCACGGACTACGAGATAGCGGAGCAGCCATGGGACATACATCTTCCTATCCCTAATAACTTCCTACCCCACTTCAACGAGAATTCCAATCTTCTTCATATCCTCCCTCACCCCTATCTCACTAACCATTTCACCCGCTCTTTCCCGAACCCCATGGACCCCTACTACGGCTACGAGACATGCCCCTTATGGATGCCTACCCTAAACCGCGACATCTACATCTTAGACGGGTACCACCCCCATCGAGATCATCTATACGACTCCGACGACTACCTATCTTCTGAATCTTCCGACTATGGATATTCCCCATCCCCTCCGCGACCTCCTACACCTTACTCTCCTGCCCTAGATTCTGAGCATGATGAACCAACCATTCCCTCCTACCCCTCGTATACCCTCATCCGACATGAACCAACTACCCCACCTTCCTCACCTCCCTCTACCCCCATCATCTTACCTCATTCCCCACCCCCATCCCCTTCTTCTCCTACCTATACCCCCTTCTCACCTGATTCACCCACTTCTCTCCTTCCACCCCCTGAGGAAGACTATGCCCTGGCTAGGTATGTGGTGATGGTACCCATGGGATATGAGTTTGAGCATGGAGAGATCTTCTTGGCACCAGATGGCACTAAGGTTCAGCGTGCATGGCAGGTTGAGTGGGTGAGTGGACCAGTTGTGGTGGAGTCACATTATCTTTTCTAAGGTGATGAGAGAGTGAGAAAGAGCCTTTAGAGGATGGACCGGATTTGGTGAAGTAATGAGAGGATGGTAAGACCCCATGGAGTGGAATGGTATGACCTGGGATATAGGGGATTTCTTTCAGAGTGTGGTATTGAGTGTACCTTTGTGTGATTTTTGTGTGATATGTGGGGATTCTTGGGAAGGTACCCTCCCTTGTGTCAGGAGCCACAAGACCGCGTCCGAGAAAGTTACATTTGCAACTTAAACACTAAACTGTTGAGGATAAACCCCTTGATCTTGGTAAGATCTATTGGTTGAGTTTACCCTCGGGTTATTTATAAGAGGGTTGGTACTTGTGGAGGGTATTTTACTAAGGTTTACCCTTTATTCTTGTGCATGTAGCTGGGAATTGCATTAAGGAGGATGGGCTGGTCATAAGGAAGTTTCCTTGGGAGTAAGAATAAGTGGAAGGTTCCTTGGAAGGTGGCTTGTTGGAAGTTTCCTTAGTGGAGGCTATGGGAGGATCTATTGGGGAAGGAGCATGGAAGGAGCAGGGCAAGAGAATGAGGAAGGCAACAAGGAAGGTTCTATGGCGGAGATTCCATTGGAGATGTGGGTGAGCTCAACGGAGCACTCTTATTGATTGGTTGGATTGCAAGGATCCTCGACCAATAGGGGAAGGATTCATAGGATTGCATGAATAAGATAGAAGGATGGTGGTTTGGGTATGCCCTTCCACTATATAAGTCCTTGTAGGTTGTGTGTAATTCATAATATTCTCATAGTGCATTCTTACCAATGCCACAAGCTCTCTCAACCTTCTAGCTACCTTGTACCTTGGCCCATTCAAGCTACTTTGGAGTACCCTTGGAGTCTACCTTAGGAGGAGCACCTCTTCAAGTGGAGAAGAGCCCGAGGGGAGGGCTGCAATTCTACGAGGAAGGAAGTGCTATCCAAGAAAGGAGTCTCGTACTACAAGTGTTGTAAGAGAGGTCATACGTATCCGGGTGATGCTAAAAAAGAGTGGTCAGGAAGTTTTAAAAGTTAGGAAGTTACACTTGCACTGGCTTTATTGTCATTTTCCACAACATGGTGACGTAGTTGACATCGGTTGCAGATAACAAAACAGGACAAGGGGAGGCATACGCATGCTTATTCTTGGCATTGACGTTCCCAAGGCTCGCCTCATCGACTTCAGGGGTATCCAGGACGGGCTCCTCGTCGCTGTTGGAGGAGTCGATCGTAGCGTCAGAGTCCTGTCAAATTATATATATATATATATATATATATATATATATATATATACTTGTTTAGGTTAGCTAGGCTGTATGGGGGTTAGCACTAGGAGGTACACAAAGTTCATCGACACCCTAGTCTTGTACCCTAGCCTTCACCTAATTCATCATCATTGCCTTAGGTTCTTAACATGCTGACTAGAGCAGGAGGTCTCTAGGACCTACGAATCGGGCCCACCCAACTGCCTACCTTGCCTACTGCTCACGCGCGCCTCGGCGGCAGCGCGCGTCACTTATTTTTTTCTCTCGCGCGCCTCAGTTTCTAGCGCGCGCGTCACTTATTTTTTAGCGCGCGACCCTGTTGTAGAGCCGCGCGCCGGTCGGCGTCGCCCGTGTAGCCCACGTCGAGCCCGCGCACCCCCCCTTACGCCGCCCACGCGCAGCCTAAGCACAGCCCGCCGCCCACGCGCGACGTAGAGCCCGCCGCCCACGTGCAACGTAGAGCCCGCCGCCCGTCGCCACGTGCAGCCAGAGCCGCGCGCAGCACGTAGCCACGCGCAGCAGAGAGCCACGAGCGGCCCTTAGGGTTACGCAGCCAGCAGCCGCGCGCGCCCTACTTGTGTGCTTGCCTGTAAGGCTCCTTGCTGCCGAACCCACTGCCTTCACACTGTACGGCCTTTCGCAGTCTAGAGCCCCACCTTAGGAGCTCGGGGGCAGCAAGTACTGCCCTGCACGTTGCTTGTACTGCCTACTGCCTACTGCCTGAGTTTTAGCCTGCTACCTACTACCTACTGCCTACTGCCTCGTGTCTACTGCCTGCTTGCTTTCTGTTGCCTTTGCCTACTGCTATTATGATGACGCCTAATGTTCTCGCGTTCGAACCTGACGGTCGCCCCATAGAGTTCACTGTGTGGCTAGATGACCTGCAACTGTTCCTTCTGACTGATGCCAAAGAGGGCGTTTCACTGTTCGATTACGTGTCTGGCACTGCCGTTGCTCCTGCTGCTGATGCTCCTGCTCTCGAACGCTCGCAATGGCAGACTCGCGATGCTGCTGCACGCCTAGCGATTAGGAACCATCTGCCGATCACTGAGCGCGCGCATTTCAGCCAGCACAAAACTGCTAAGACACTGTACGACGCTGTAGATGCACGCTACTCCTCCCCGGCCACTGCAGCCATAGGTCGACTCATGCTACCCTACCTGTTCCCCAACCTTTCTTCGTTCACCACTGCTGAGGACCTCATTTCCCACCCGTGCGCTACTGACACTCGCTTTCGTGCCGCCCTTTCAGCCGAGTTTTGCGCCGCAAACCCCCCCCCCCCCGATGTACTTCACTCTCTATTTCCTCGTCACCCGCCTCCCTGACACTCTTAGCTCGGTCAGGGACCACTTCCTAGCGCTAGACCCCCCCACTCTCACTGTCGATGACTTCCAGAAGCACCTCCTAGCAGCAGAGAAGAACATCCTCGCTGTAGGTGCTGCTCGTGGCACTCCGCGCTCTCCTCTCTTTGAGGGGTGCTCCCCCTCCCCTCTCACCCCCTCCTACGCCTCCGCAGCTGCTGCTCACGACTACCTTGGTGCTGAGGAGGTCGGGGCTGCTTCCGCTCCAAGTGGGAAGCGTCGTAGCGGCAGGGGTGGCAGGGGCGGTGGGGGCGGCGTTGGAGGCGGCGGTGGTGCAGGCGGCGGGGGCGGTGGAGGTGGTGGGGGTGGTCGCGGGGGTGGAGGGGGTGGAGGTGGTGGTGGGGGCGGTGGAGGCACTGGGGGCGGTGGAGGGGGCAACAGCGGCGGTGGGAGAGGAGGGAGCGGTGGTGCCAGTGGTGGTCAGGGCCAGCAGCAGCAGCCGGAGCAGTAGCAGCAGCAGCGTCCGCGTCAGGCCCCCACTTCCCAGCAGCTTCTTGACTGGTATGCCGGGCGTGGGGCTTCTGGGGGTCCTGGTAGCTGCCCCTATATCATCCGCACAGGTCCCCACGCTAACCGCCAGTGCACAGGGTTTCACATTGAGCAGCGCTGCTTCGCTCGACTTAGCGACGCCTGGCGCACCAAGTTTCTTGATGCTACTAAGTTCCCCAACTGGGCAGACTTGCTTGGGCGTGATGTACCAATCTTTGATCTTGACTATGAGGCTATTCTAGCTGCTATGTATGCATTGTCTGTTAGTGCTGAGGGTGACTGCTACTTGTGTGTGCCGCCGGATCCTGGTATAGCCCCTGCAGCACTAGGTGCTTGTGAGTCTGCTCCCCTTGGTACTGCGCCTGCACAGGCCTTGCACACTTTTACACTTGACTCTGGTGCTTCCCGCTGTTTCTTTCGCGACAGTACCAGAGTCACCCCCCTTCTTGCACCTGTTCCTGTCTCACTAGCTGACCCCTCCGGGGGCCCAGTGCTTGCGCGGTCTTCCACTGTGCTTCCGTGTCTGGCGGTCCCGTCTGGTGAGCTGTCTGGTCTCCACCTCCCCTCGTTCTCTACGAACTTGGTGAGCAACGCTGTCCTCCAGGATGCGGGTGTTGACACCTTCACCCCTGGCCGACAGCGTGTGGCGATCTGTACGTGCTCCCAGACCGGCCGCCACCTGGCCACGTTCACCCGTGCGCCAGGGTCCAGTCTGTACACTCTCACCACTGCGTCGCGTTCCACCACTTTGTCTCCCTAGCTGCACGCGTCTTCTCAGGTAGCTACCCAGTGTGAGTGTTGACGGCTGTCTCACGACACTCTCCTGTGGCACCACCACCTGGGCCACCCCTCCCTGCCTCGCCTTCGTAGCATGCACTCTCGCTTTCTGGTCTCTGGTCTTCCCAGGTCTCTCCCTGCCCTCCCTCCCTCGCCTGCGCCGCCTTGCATTCCTTGCGTCGAGGGGCGGCAGCGCGCCGCTCCTCACTCCTCCTCGTTCCCTCCCATAGAGGCTCCACTGCAGACTCTCCACCTGGACGTGTGGGGCCCAGCCGGCGTCCGTGGACAGGGCCACGAGCGGTACTTCCTGCTGGTTGTCGACGACTACACGCGCTACACCACGGTCTTCCCCTTGCAGCGCAAGGGGGATGTCCCTGATGTTTTGATCCCCTGGATCCGCGCTACTCGTCTCCTGCTCCGCGAGCGGTTCAAGTCAGACTTTCCTGTCCTGCGTCTGCACTCTGACAGAGGTGGTGAGTTCTCCTCAGACCTCTTGGCCGCCTTCTGTGCGGAGCACGGCATCCGCCAGACTTTCACGCTTCCGGCCTCTCCGCAGCAGAATGGGGTTGCTGAGCTCCGCATTGGCTTAGTCATGGAGGTCGCTCGTACCTCCATGATCCATGCGGCTGCCCCCCATTTTCTGTGGCCGTTTGCGGTCCGGTACGCCGCGCATCAGCTCAACCTTTGGCCCCGTGTCTCCTTGCCGGAGACCTCGCCCACACTGTTGTGGACGGGGAAGGTTGGCAACGCGTCGCATTTCCGGGTCTGGGGTGCTCGTGCTTTTGTTCGGGATACCACCGCGGACAAGCTCTCCCCTCGTGCCATTCCTTGCGTCTTCCTTGGCTTTGTCCCTGACGCGCCTGGCTGGCAGTTCTACGACCCCGCCTCGCGCCGTGTCTTTGCGTCCCAGGACGTCACCTTTGACGAGTCAGTCCCCTTTTACCGCCTCTTCCCCTACCGCACTGCTCCTCGCCCTCTCCCGCCGCTCTTTCTTGCCCCAGGTCCTCCCCAGGTAGACCCCCTCCCTGCGCCAGGTCCTGCTCCTTCAGGTGTTTCTCAGGTAGACCCTCCCGTCCCTGCGCCTGTTGAGGTCACTGGTGACTCCGGTCCTGCTGGT